TACTTCAAAAAATCTTCCAATTTAAAAACAAATTTGTACCATGATCCACAGTAAAGAAGGCATTTGCATTATAATTAGTAGAGACCAATGTATTATATACTGTTTTATGAAGCAAGACTTTCCTTTACTCTACATGTGCACTCATATTTTCCATTCTGTTATTTCTAATGCTGGTTGCAGCCTACTAAATTATTTCATACAGATGGTAACATGAAGTTTGAAAAATCCTGCTGATGACCTGGGGTCAAGTCACTTCACCTCCCTTAGCCTTCATTTCCTCATCTTTAGAATGGAAATAAATATTCATTGATTCAGTGCGGAAAGATCACAGGTATATGGGGCCTTGCACATTCCAACTTCTCAATAAACATTACGTTCCTCTCTACTTCTATTGGTTTTGCCTTCATTCTCTTTCCATCTCTCTCTCCCCTGTCTGATTCACTCTCTCCCTTGCTTCATTCTGTAAATGTCACCTCTTTGATCTAGGTCATCATCTCCCAAGGTCATACCTACCCCCAAAGTTGGCCAAGCGGCTGATGCGGGAGGCGGGCACCTTGCGTTCTCGAGAACGGTCACTCAGCTGGGAAATGGGGAGAAGGTCTAAGGAGGGTAAGGTGGACAGAGCGCCCAGGGAATCCAACCAATCTGTCACAACACCCCTTCCCAAGCTTGGGAAGCCACCTGCCTTCATGGGATGTTACTGGGTGGGATACCTGGGGCCGGGGTGTCTTCCTGATCCGGGCCTCCCGTGCTTTGCGAATGTCCTCCTCACCCAGGCCCCTGCCAGGCCCATCCTGATGAAGCTTTTGGGCCCAAGAACCCCGAAATGGCCCCTGCAAGAGACGTGAACACTAGTAAGGAGTAGAAGGCACGGGGTCTGCCTGGCTCTTTTAGACCCCTCCTTGTCCTTTTTACTCCCTGAAGCCTCCCTCAGCCTTTTCCCTTCGGGGACCCCTCCTCAGCCTCTTACCCAGCGGCGGGGCCCAAGCCCCAGGGTCCCACAAGGCAAACCAATAGTCAGGCCCAGCTGTCCACAGGTCCTCCGCAGTAGGCCGCCTACCTCCAGCCACATTGTCTGGCGATGAGGAGAGATTATTTGGACAGGAGTTGTGGGACTGACCTCCCTGCTTTGCCCCTCTTTTCGAAGCCCGTGTCCACCCTGAGAATTCTACCAACCAAAGACTTTCTCCCCTGTTAATAGGCCCTCCAGTTTCTCCTCGTTCCCTCTCTCGTTGCTAGGAACCCATAGCTCTTCCGCACACCTCCCCAAACCACTTTCCCCTGTCCCACTTCCCTCCGCCGTTGCTAGGGTCCTCTCCCGTTGCTAGACACCCACAGATCCTCCAGGGCTACCCCGCCACTCCGCTGAGCACCCCCTCGTTGCTAGGCACCGCCTTCCCCTCGTTGCTAGGCACCCACAATTCCTTTTGTGCTCCCCCCTCTTCCATCCCGCTACGGGCCACCTCCCCCTGTTGCTAAGCACCCACGGCTCTCTGGCTCTGGGTCCGCCACGACCGGGGGCCTCCTGCGCTTCCGGGAGCCTCCATACGCCCGCCCCCTCCGGTCAGATAGCCAATGGCGGAGGAGCAGCTCGCTGACTGACACAGAATACGCCCCGCTGTGCGTGAGGGGGCGGGACCTAACGGTGGGCTAGGGCACTACCGAAGCACACACGTGCCATTTTATGCCCTTCCACTTACCTCAAAGTTCCTTGTATGCGGCGGACCTTTCCGTTTCCTACACGTCGTTATTTGCAAATATCCCTCTCCCTTACAAACTCCACACCCCTCTTTTGCGCGAACATTTTGTGAACCTCCCTTGTTTGTACCCCCAGTAGTCTCAACATCTCTCCTTTGAACACCCATTTTCCCAGGAAACATTTCCCTTCCACATGGAGCCCCTCTACTTTGCACACTCACCCTCTGCTTCAGTACCCACATCCTGGCACCCAACTTTCTCCCTTGTACGCATAACCCCCCCTGCCTTGCTCACCAACTGTTTCCCTCCGTGTGCATAAACCCCCTCACACTCAGCTCTTTGCACACTGGGCCCGTTCCCTCATACACCCTGCTCTCTCTGCTCCCCACCCACCTGCAGGATGCTGTGAGTGGGAGCCCTCTGTTTCCTGTCAGCCTGACATTTCCCAGAACACACTCAGCCAAGATTCCCAGTGCTGACTCAGGAGCCTTGGCATCCCAGGAAACCAGCTCCCAGCCCATTCTGAGTGTGTGTGTGTTATTGGTGGGGAAGGGAGGACAGGCTTAAAGCCTGCTCCCCCCACAATAGGCTGACTCACCCCTCTTCTCACAGTCTGGAATAGAAGCAGCTGGCTGGGGCATCTCTCCCACTACTGGGAGAAGAAGGGATGTGACGCTGCTCCTATAGAACCCCCTCCTCCAACCCTGACTAACCCTCTTTATTAGGAATCAGACCCCTCTGTCTCTGTCCCTGTGTTGTATGACCTCAGAAGAACCTCATCCCTTTCTGGATCTCAGCTTCCCAGCCTGTATGATGCATTAGGGGACACCCGTTATGACTTCTCATTGGTCTGTAAAGAGATGACTCATTTTGGAGCCCTGGGTCTGTGCCCAATGCCCCTTTCCAGGTGACTCAGTTTCAAGACAGAAACCACCCCTGTACCCCTCCAGACATAAAGGTCTGACTCAGAAGCTAGGTGGCAGCTCACCCTTGGGGGCAAAATATATAAAAAGCACCTATGACAATAACTAATTCTACAGGGCTGTGACTGATGGTACCAAGCCTGGCGCCACCTGTTTCACATGGGTGAGATCATATCAAACAGCCTGGTGGCTACAAGCAAAAGCTACAGGGTGGGAGAGCTCTGAGCCTCAGTGTTACCATTTGTGAAATGGGGCCATGGCATCCCCTCCTGCTCAGTGTTAGTGAGAGAGATTCAGTCAAACAATGTCTATAAAGAGCTTGGCGCTGGGCGAGGACAGTACAAGAGCTCTATACGTGAGACAATTTTCTTATGGAAAACCCATTCTTTTAAAATTTCTATTAAGCACTTACCATATGCTATTCTAGGCACTAAGGACACAGCAAGAAACAATACAGGCAAATAAACTTTGCCCTCTTGGTGCTGGCTTCTGGTAAGGGGCACAATAAACAAAATAAATAAGGATATGTAATAAGGTGTCACATGTTAAAGAGAAAAATAAACCAGGGAAGGGCAGGAAGAGGAGGGAAGACTGTATGTTCAAATAGGATGGTCAGGACAGGGGAAGGGTATAGCTCAAGTGGTAGAGCACATGCTTAGCATGCACAAGTTCCTGGTTCAATCCCCAGTACCCCCTGTACAAATAAATAAATAAATAAACAAACAAACAAACAAACAAACCGAATTACCTCCCCCCACCAAAATAAAAATAGGATGATCAGGAAAGTCCAGGTTGAGATGTCATTTGAATAAAGGCCTGAAGGAGGTGAGGGAAGACCTGAAGGAAGTGAGGAAAGGAGCTATTGAACTATCTAAGGGAAGGATGTTCCAAGCAGAGGGAACAACCAGTGCAAAGTCCCTGTGGTGGAAGGGTCTCAGAAAAATAGCAAAAAGGCCAATGGGCAGAGTAAGTGAGGAGGGAAAGAAGGATTAGATGAGCCAGATCAGGTAGACTATAGTGAGTTACGGTGAGGACTGGCTTTTCCCTGAGTGGGATGGGAACCACGGAGGGTTGTGAGCAGAGGCAGGACTGACTTACAGAAAGTATTCTTACTTCCGGCTCTTCCTCCAACACCCCCAGCCTCAACAGCAAGTTATATCGCTCAATAGAGACCAAAAGCCCAAATTTTGGTTCAAATTTACACAATTTAGTTAGGTGATCTTTGACTCACTGCTTTGCCTTTCTGTGCCTCTGTTTCCCTGACAGTGCAACAGGGATAATGACTCCTATCTCACAAAATTTGAGGTGTAAAGTAGTAAGTATAACGCCTGGCACAAAGCAAGTGCACAAATGTAAACGTTGTTGTGAATAAATAAAAATCCCAATAGAAACTCTTTTTATAGATGGGGAAACTGAGGCTCAGAGGTGACAGGTCTGTTGGGAATGGTCATTCCAGAAGTAAGGGTTGCAGCCAGCATTTGAAACCAGGTATCCTTGCTTCAGAGATTAAGAACATGGCTTTACCCCTCATTAAACCCCACTTGACCTTAGACACATTCATTCACTGCTCAGGACCTTAATTTCCCAGTTGGTAGAAGTGATTGGCTCTTGTGGCACTGAACACATATTTTTTCAAAACAACAAAATAACATAATGTGTCCTCATTTTACAAGTGAGAAAACAGAGTCTAGGGCTGGGGCAGGGGGTTGGGAGCGGAAGTCACTCAATCAAGGTAAGAGGCGGGTCTCAAACCCACATAAGTGGAATTCCCAAGTATTTGAAAGTCTTTCCCGGCGCTGCGTAAAGAATGGGCACGCTTCTAGACTCGTCGCCAGGGGTTAGAGAGAGACTGAAGTAGTCATTCGAGAGTGTAGGGAGGTTGGATTAGTTGCGGGGGTGGGGGGGTCCACTGGCCCAAGAGCACCACACAAACGCCCCAAACCCGACCTGGACGAGAGCACCAGGCGCTCGGAGCCCACCCCACCAACGGATGATAGGAGGGGCCAGGCAAGGCCCAGCCCCTTTACGTCACGTCCGGTGAGGCGGGGCTTCGGGGCTTTCCCCGGGAAGGGGGGGGTAGTCGGTTAACCCCTCCGTGGCTGGGCGGGC